ATCATGGCCTTGTTGAAGACTAACAGCCAAAGGTGTAAAACCATCCTTTAAATACAAACATTATTCATTCAAAAATAAATAAATAAATGAAGCAAGAAAAAAAAAAGACAAGATTTACCTCTGTAGCTAAACTTTGATTAGCGCCATTAGCGAGCAGAAATTTGACTACTTCGATATGATTCTCCTCTACAATTAATCAAATACATCAAACCATTAATCATATTTATCTTTCAGCAATACATACGTGCAGCCATATACAAAGGAGAGAAACCATTTTGAGATTGACAATTAATATTAGCATTGTATTTAACTAAAAGTTTGACAACTTCTTCCTGTCCAGCCAATGATGCAATATGGAGAGCTGTATTTCCTTTCTAGAAAAAAAGAAAATCATATGATTAATAGATTCTCATTTTCTTTTTGATATATCCAGAACCTTTGTCGCTGCATTAACATTGGCACCACGTGAAAGAAGCTCTTGAACAATATTTACATGACCCTCTCTAGAAACAGAAATACAATATATATTTAATAGAAAACTATTTCCAATAGAATATATACTTTGATGCTAAATGTAATGCATTTAATCCATTCTAAAATAATAAAAACCTTTTATTTTTACTATTTTCTTTTCAATCAATAGTACACATACAGCATTGCTTGTATTAATATCAATTGATGAACGAAGAAATTCCAATACCTTCTCAAGGTTTCCTGCTCGTGCTGCTCGTAAGAATCCCGAATTTCCATCAGACTAAAAAAACAAATAAATCATTATGGATATCTATTAGTATATCAATGAATAATGAACATATTTTTTCTCATGAATATATATCTAATAATGAATATCCAAACATTAACTTTATTTTATCATATACACATGTCGACACGTATAAATGTATCGACAGATATATTCGATCTTGATCTATTGACATTCATATTGATTTAGGCTACAAAATGGTTTTTTTTACAACAAAAATCTGACACATTCATTCTTATCTTTAACATTATTTATTCTATTCACTTGTTTATGTATATTTTCCGGTTAAGGCATGAATAAACAAATAAGAAACTTAATGCTAAATTACACGATTTAGATATTTATTATTTCCCAAAAGGCAATCATTTGTTATTGATTAATACAATATGCTATTTTTTATATTATTCTATAAATATGATCAGACAAAAAACAAAAAAAAAAGAAACAAAATAAAATTTTAAAAAAAGTCTTGCCCAATGAAACATTACTCACGAAGGTGCATCGAATTTTATTCGACATATGTCGACCCATAATAGCAATCTTCTCTTAAAATGAACAAATATTAAATACTAATTTCCAAAGTGCGTCGTCGTAATAATGTTATAACAAATGAGACGACACTCAGAAACAGAGAAGAAAACACTGGCATACAATCTTCGATTTCTTCTATATTGATGCACTATGTATTTCTCTCTTCTTCTTTTTTTCCTAATATATGTAGAAATACCAAACTGCCGAACATTCCCAACAAAAAAAAATACATCTAACAATAGAAGAGAAAAGAAAACATCAAGAGAATAAGCAATCATTAGTAACATGGTGGTTACTAAATGAACCTATCGAATGATGTTTTCCATCTAAATGCGTTTATCATGTATATCCAGACTGATTAACTAACGAGACAATGAAACAAAGGCTAAAAAAACAAGTGTTATATTAGATCAACGAATGTGTATGACCGGCGGCTATATAAATTTTGCCAACTAAAACAAATAAATGTCCTTCATAAAAGAAAGACATTGTGGCCTTTTGACCGATTAGAAAAAGATGTGAAAAATAAATTCAATCAAAATAAAACAAGTCACATACCGCTGTCATATTGTCAAAAACAAAAAGATTGACATTTGCAAAAGCTTCTTTTTGTTTTACTCATCTTGTATTTGAACAGTAATCAAAAAAGATTAAAAATGTACAAATGTATATATATAAAAGATAAGCCTCGAGAAACAAACAATTAGTATTGAACAAGTCAAAAAGAAAGAGAGGATGAGAAAATTTTGTGGCAGTACAGCACATTGCTCGTCAATAGAAACAGACAGACAAAGCATCATGAGCGTGTGAACATGACGAACGCACACGCTCCTATTTTTCTTTTATTATTATTGTATTTTTCATTCGTTCTTTTTCTCGTTAGGACCCACTTTTTGTGATGATAGAGCACACACACACACATACAAACTCACACACACACATTCTCATCTTGTTCTCTCTTTTTCCATCATGAAAAAATTGAACTAAAGGCAGATATAACATCCGTTTTCGACCAACCGGATGTTAGAAAGAACAAAAAAAAATAAAAGGAAAAGAAAAACCTAAAAAATAAAAGGATGTAACATCTGTGTGATCGAAAGAAAAGAAGGAAGGATACGCTAAATATTCAATTATAAGATAATGATTTTTAACAACAATTTATATCAAAAAATGTGTGATGAATGTATTTTTTTTTATTTTTATTCATAACATTAAAAATTTTTTTTTTTTTTTTAGTAAGTTTTCTTTTCATTATCTAGCTTGATTTTTTTTTTTTAAAGAATCATTGAAAATCTCAAATGATTTGTCGTTATCTATTTTGTCAAGCAGATAGATATCAACGTAGCGAGAAAATGTCGCTAAATGCAAATAGAACGCATATACGAATAGTATCAAGGGAAATATCTTTCTTTACATTCTTTCTATACGAATAGAAAATAAATGATGATTATAAAGAGGTCTAGGGCGTCTTTCTCGTTCGTAACTTTTATAATACAATTATTTATGTTGATAGCAACGACACCATTGCTATACTCGTTAGATAGACGTTTTTCATTTATTCTTTTTTTTTTTTTTTTTTGTGTAAAATGATCGATCAGGCTTCTTTCTTTTTCTTTTTTTTCGTTCATTTATATTCATTGAATAGAATGAGAAAAATAAGAGAAGTCATTGAAATCTTTTATTGAAGGTGTGTGTGTGTGTACAAACTAAGCATGTAATTTAATGTTAGTAGAAAAAAAGTGCACACTTATTCATTCTCATGCTCACTTGATGAAAATGTGGGTAGTTGACTGCAGGCAATGGAGGTAGTTTGATACTTGATGGACGGGACATTGGCACAGAATGGTTTTCTTTTGTTGATTGAGTAGACATTTTTGTGTGTCAGATAGTTATTTAAAACATGACACTAGTCGTTTTTACTATCTCTGAAGAGTAATAACAACCGATCTGGCATCAAATACTAGTAGATGCAAAACAAGCAATTCTTTTCTATCGTTTCGTTCTTGAGCTCTTCAAATAACGCTGCTTGACGTCTTGCAACGTTGTTGTTAATAATCATCCGTCATCATCTGTTGACACAAGCCGAGCAATGCAGTAACGGCTAGTCATAGGACGACTCTTCTTCTCTCATCACATCATCTTCTTGTTCGATTCGCTTGTCTATCTAGTTTTTTTTCTTTTTTTTTTCGCTCTTACACTTCCCACTTGGATTAAATATAGAATGATTCGTAAGAGATAGAGAAGAAGAGAGAGAGAGAACGCAAGCCACAATTCTGTACTAACGTTGAATAGTAACTAAAACCAATAAACTGAAACGGCAAGTAGAGTGGGAGTAAGAGACATACGATGATGATTATTACAATACAGTGTGATGATGAAGAGAGCGCAATAACGACGTCATTCAATAGTCGTATAATTTCATTAGAACCTATCTTTTTCTTTTCTTTTTATTGACAATAGTTGTTATAAAGAAATGTCTATTGATCGAACGATCAATTTTTTCCATCGTGTAACAGAATATAAATGAAACAAAAAGAAAAATTACTAGTGTATTGAATAGTTCCCTAAGGTAGAATCAATTATATAAGTGTTATATTTTTGAATTTACATAATAAGAAAAAGAGCCGATCGATAAGCATTGACATAGATAGATCTATGCATGCATTAAATTAGCTATTGTTACTTACTGTTGATAATCTCGATTTCGCATGGGTCATTTTAACATTGATATTTAAATGCAACTACGAAAAATGATCAACTATATGTACACATATTTTATTAAGTAGGAACAATTGTAGCTCTTTGTATATATTAAGTGTAGGTAAAAGTAAAGCATATTGACTAGCATATGTATATATTGAGCTGCGGCCGCTTTGTCTTTCTTTTCTCTTTTTCTATGTCAATAATAGAAGCGACGATAAGATCCATTTGCCAACTCTTTCTTTTTTTTTCCTGTCTATATTTTTACCGAAGCATTTATGTACTTCTTTGTAGTTGATGATATGGCGAATAACAAAATATGATACACAAGCAACGAGAATCTCATATCATAGAATAATCAAGCGAGAAAGAAAATATGCTTGAACCATCTGGAGAAAGCAATGATTGTTATTATTTTTTTTCTTTCTACGAACAAAAACAGCAGGATTTATATACACAAGGAGATTTAGATATCTAATTGGACAAGAACATATTCATAATACAATTATCTTATCCGAAGGTCTACCATCCATCAATCAAATAATATCTTTAAAATAAGTCAAGCTATGAATTGATAATTATTAAGAATAAAAAATGAGAATTTTCATGTAATAATGTCTCAATTGAAGTGTATAAAAAAAAATGTCAAAAATGACATTGTCACACAAGTTTCTGTTCATATGATAAATTCCAGTTATTATTATGGTTTTTATGTATATATTAGACAAGAATTTTTAATATTATTTTAATTTAACAATAGACAGAAGCAAAATAAAGAGCAATAGCTTCAGCAAAAAAACAAAAAAGAAAAAAAATGTACTATTAAATAAATTTACAACAGTACTTAGCAAAATTAATAAGGCATAATCCAGAAGGTTAAGAAAACAACTGTCCTAAAGTCCACCATATGCTTCAGTTCTCATCTAATAACTTCTACCTATATAAATTCGATTCGTTTCTTGTTGTTCGTCACTCCTCAAATTCAATTGGAATAAGCTAGAAAACAACCATGTTTAAGCTCATCATTGCTTTATCATTATTCGTTGCCATTCAAGGACAACTTGTTGGTGGTTTTACAGATCGTCCTGATCTTGTTGACAGTCCAATCACACGAAATATGATTAAATTAGCAACTAGTGAATTAAAAAAATCACAAAACCTTGATGTATCACTTCTCCGTGTTCTTAGTGTAGCCACACAAGTTGTCAATGGAGTCAACTATCGAATTGTTTTCACAGCTCGTCCATATTCATCAGATGGTCTTCTTATCTGTCAAACTAAAATCTATCGACAATTCAATGGTGAACAATCGGTTTCTTCAATTCGTTGTGATTAAAAATATTTTAAAATTTCTAATAAAATCATGATATAACATCATCCTATGAAAAATAGCGACTATTTAAATCATTAAATATATAGAAATAAATTCTCTAAATTTTATCATCTGTTTCAATTCTCATGAAATATATCAAGGCACATGCAGCTTCTATTTTCTTCACAGATAAGATTTCTTTTTGCAAGATAAATATGATTACACTTGCTATAGCTCGCGGTACTTTAATACAGAGAACAAATTATTTAACAATAGAAGTCAACTATCGTATATCAATCAAATGAGCTTCTTTTATATATAGAATTCTGTTTCTTCTCTATAACTTTAGAAGGGCAAATATTCCTTCAGTTTAATCAATAATTAAATAATGATGCGACATAGCGTCAAGAGAAAAAAGAAAAATTTTTTTACCACAAGATTGTCAGTTGTGTTTGATGGGTTAGTAGTATCTTCCAATTCTTCAAGGTTCATGACCATGTCTAATACTGAGTATTAGATGAAACAAGCTATATAAGTCGATGAAATAGCGTGCCGCTGCCTTTTTTTTCTCTCTCTCCCCCTTGGATGTTGACGTTTTGTTTCCACTTTTCTAATATATTATAAAAAAAAAACTCTCATGCGCATTGGATTGACTGTTTCTATTCTAGTTTTTCCTTTTCCTATGCTCTCGACACATTTAGCAGAAAGTTCGATCTTGCATTCAATCCATAATTCATCTGAGACAACAGAGAACACGACAGAATACGATGACAAATATAAAAAAAATGACTAAAACGTCTTTTCAGCTTATTTTCTAATCATTATTATATAATTCTTTTCTCTTGTATTTTACGTATAACAAGATCGAAGCACAAAGAAACAAAAAAGAAAAAAGAAAAAGAAAGATCCTACTGGATTGGTTTGTTGTACTAATGGAGATGATGTTGTTGTGTAATAAATTGGACTAGTACCAGGACCATGATCAATATAAGTCGGACTTGATAACATCTGAAACAAGAAAATAAAAAAAAAATTTGTTTTCATTTTTAATGGAAAACTACTCATGTTTTATTGTTCTTATATGAAAAAAAAAAACAACAATAAAAGACACTATGAAATCACTGCAATGAACAAACAAGAAAATTAGCCTAAGAAAGAATATTTTTTTAACGTTCTTCTTCCGCACGCCATTCAACTTTTTTACGATGACTTTCAAGTGCATCTCTGAATTTTTTATCTATCATTTCTTCTGTTAATGTTCCATCTTCAGAAGCATAAGCAGATGCCTAAAACAATCAAAATAAAAAACACATGTATATACATAGATTACTTTTTTGTAAAAAATAAAACAACAATGAAATAAACTTACTTGACAAGCAGCAAGTAATTTAGCTATTTCACGGCCAGAAAATCCATCAGTACGTTGAGCTAATACTTCACATTTTTTTTCAAAATCAAATGGACCAATTTTAATTGGACTAAAGAAAAAAGTTTTGTTTTTCCGTGACTTTAAGACAAGAATTATGAGACCATTGAGTATACAAAGTACTCGGTAGAAAAAAAAAACTTTGTCTGTTTGTTATTATCATATTTTTATTTAAAAAAAAAAGAAATGAAAAATGCTCTTTAAAAGTTCTACTTCTTTTCATTTCAACGAATCATTCAAATTTTTTTTATAAATTATACTTAAGAAGAAACCGAATACAATGTGCTATATGTAACATAGATTGATTCAAGTTTTATAAGGTCGACATGAAAAATGTATTAATGAGTCTAAGATGTCCTTATTATAACAATCAGTCGCCTGCTAGGATTTAAAATCAAAAGAGCTGCAAGCTGAATTTTATTTACCTTATGCAATTTTTTTACACTCTACAAAATGGTAAAAATAATATTCAAAAATGCTGCTTTCGAGGCGATATGAAGTTCGTCCCTCTTCCCTCTTTCATAATGGTTTTGACGATTTTTCAATAGAAAAAAAAAACATTTTTAGCAATTTTCATTGCTATGGCACTATTGAAAAGTAAAATCAATGTGTCAATCAGTACCAGTGTCAAAATCTATATTGAATTAAATATATTTTAGAAAAACTTTTTTTTCAGCGAAAATCTGACTGCTGGGGACTAGAAGAAAAGAAATGTCTCGAAAATATATTTAATTCAATGTAATTATTGATGTTGGTTCCAAATGTCACATTTATTTCGCTTTACTATCGCGTCACGCCAATGGAAATCGTTAAAATATTTTTTTTTTCTTCTATCGAAAAACCATCAAACTCATTACGAAAGAGAACAAGCACAGTTATTACAGGGTATTTTTCGTTGGTTTTTTTTTTCATGAGTATATGACAGTTGTAAAATGGTCGTTACGAATAAAAAAAAGAAGGGAAAGTGTTTTTTTTTCTATCAAGTATCTCATATATTGAATTGTCTCTTGATTTTTTTTTTTTTTACAATATAATCAATAAAAAATATCATTTACCGACGACGTTCAGCCGATTTCAGAATATACGTATCGAAATACAGATAAGTCATTCGTCGACGTTCAGCTAAACTTGGTAAATTAAATTGAACCATTTCATCAAGACGATCATTAACAGCCCAATCAAACTGTTCTGGTTCATTACTTGCAAGTACTAACATAAACCTAGAAAAAAAACAAAATCTTTGTTATTATGTGTTTGAAAAAAATAATCAACTATGATAATATCAGTTGTATTGTCAATAACCATGAAATAAATCAAACGATGAAACAAAATTATTTTATGATTCTTTGATTGTTCTCTTCTTTGAACTTACCGACTTGATTGTTCACCAGTTCGATAAAGAAATGCATTCAATGCTGCACGCATATCTTCACCGATTTTTTCCTATGAAATTAAAAATGAAATCAACAAAATGCCTTTAACAAATTGATTCGTAAATTTACAGTTGCTCGTTTTCTAAGAAATGCATCAGCTTCATCAATAAATAACAAAAGACCACGACCACTTGTTTGTGACCAATCAAATACTTTATGTATTGCTGTAACAGCCTCACGACCTAATGGTGCTACATCACCACCAGTCATTATTGCATAATCAAGACCTGAATGAGCAGCTAATTTCTATATAAATATCCACTTCTTTTTTTCTTTTAATCATTTCATTAAAATAAATTTTTACCTTAGCAAATAGAGTTTTACCTGTCAAAAACAAAAACTATGATTAAAATCTTTTATAAAACAAAACATTTTGTTTTTTTTTTCTTCTTCTCTATTTACCCGTTCCTGGTGGTCCATGCATAAGTAAATTTCTAAATAAACCATAATTTCGTTTTGTAAATCGTGTTGCAATAGCTATTTCACGTAAACGTGATTCAAGTGCTGGATCAAGTACAACACCTTGTAATGAATCTTCTGCTTTAGAAAAAAAATAACGTCGTATGGTTTTCACCGGTGAACGAAGTGCAGAAAGTAATGTTGTTCGTGATGTTTCACGAATCAATGATGGTTTACCAAGACGTGAATCAAGATATTTTACTGCTGTTTGTGTAGTTCCACGTGCAGTATAAACACCAAGAGCAAGTAAAGTAATACCACCGGTCTATGACGAAAGAAATTTCTCGTTGTTTTTTTCTGCATTGATCATTAATAATATATATATAAATAACTTACAGCCATAAGAATTTTACTTGGATTTTCAAGTAGAGTTGTTATACCAGTTCCAAGAACAGTACCTGCTGTTTTAATACTTTCTAAAACTGTTTTACGTTGTTCTTCAGCTTTGAGTTTAATTTGTTCTAAATAAATTTCACGATTTTCACGTTCAATTTGTGCTTTGCCTTTTAATTCAGCTTCAAGACGTTTCATTTCATATTGATGACGAACTTGTTCGGCATATTCAATTGAACCTAAATATTTATCATCATTAATTGATATAGAAAAGATTTTGAAGAATATCATCACTAACGTTGTTTCATTTCTTCTTGTTTTCGAACTGATTCTTCTTGTCGACGACGTTCTTCATCTTGTAAACGAGCCTAATTATTAGGAAAATAAAAATCATTTCTATTGAACATAGATAACTATTTAATGTTACTTGTTCAGCAGCTTGATCTTGCATACGTTTACGTGCTAATTGATCTTGAAATTTTGCTCTCTAGATAAAGGAAAATCAACACGAGAGAAAATCATTGATAGAAATTTCTACTTCATTTTGATGATGAGTTTCTTCATTCATCATTCGTCGTTTTTCTTCATTTAATTGTTGTTGATGTCTAAAACGAATTTCTTCTTCATGTTGGGAATATTCCTATGAGATGAGAATGATTTATAAGTTACTTTTGTTATTAAAAATTTACCTTCATTTGTTTTTGAATTTCAAGCTGTTTTGTTTGTTCTTGCAGTTTAACAACATCAAATGCTTGATTAGCATATTCTAAATGAGAAGACATTGTTATAATTGAATATATATGTATACATATATATATTTGAAATAAGTTTAACATACGTGATCGTTCAAGTTCTTTAGCTGCTTGAGCAGCTCGTTCAAGGGCAGTTGAATCAAATTTATAAATAGATTCACGACCAGCATATGATCTAGAATCTGCATTGCCTCCTGATGGTTTATCATTTCCAGTATTACTCGATGAAGATGAAGATCCATCATTAGTACCCCCTAAACCTTGGGGTGGAAGATCAGATACAGGTTTTTTATAACCAAAAATCCACGACATCTAAAAATATATTGAATATTCGTTTTAACACATGGAAATTATGCACTAATATGCACTGAAGATTAAGACAATGGATTAATAAAATGCATACTATCCATTCTTCTTCGTTCTACAACTATTTTTTTTATACTACTGACTTTTTAGATAAAAAAAAATTGATGATTTCGTTTGAAAAGAAAATTCCATTGTCTGTTTTGATTTCGATTGATTGCCTGGGAATATTGAACAAAGAAGTTCATGTATCAGTTTATACTCGCCAATAATGAACGAATACTGTTTAAAGGTGAAGTCCTCTAGAGGTGTCGCTTAATTAATAGTTACTTATTTATCACTCGTATCTTTAATTTAATATGAAAACAATGTCAAATAGAAATATATTTTTTTAAATTAAGTTTATAGAAAAAATTTTGATCAAAATGAAGTTTGTATGTTAAATCATATGGCCATTCAAACAAAAGTAATTTGATTGGATTGGTTCATTTAATTTTTTTTTTTGGTTGCAACGAAGAAGACAAAAACGCTCTATTTTGAAGAAATAATAGAATATTTCAATTTTATTTTTGTTTTACTTAATTGAAATATGCCAACGAAACTCTATATTGGTAATATAGCTCCTTCAGTCAGTTCAACTGAGCTGAAGGAATTATTTGAAAAATACGGCAAAGTACTTGAATGTGATATTATTAAAGATTATGCGTTTGTTGTAAGGTTTATTTTAATAAAAAAAAATTTCTCAATTAACTTCGTTTTCTTTTTTATAGCATATGGAAGATGCAAGTAAAGCAAAAGCATCTATAGCTGCTTTGAATGAATTTAATTTAAAAGGAAGTCGTATTAGAGTTGAAGTAAAGTTATATTAGAAAACTCTATGTAAATATTATTTAATATGTCTATTTATTAGATATCAACAGCACAATTTAAAAATTCAGGTCGTTCATCGTAAGTGATTGTGATTTGATTTTGATTTAAATATGTTAATTTTTTATAAACACATTTAGTCGTCGTGAAGAATCACCACGTCATCAATCAAGTTCTATGGCAATGCGATCATCTCGGTTTGTGATTTCCTTTTGTTAATGAAATATTTCACTATATTCATTTATATATTAGGAATCGAGCTTATCCAATGATGTCATCAGGCCGAAGTGGCGGTCCCGATCGATCATATCCTCGTATGCGTAATAGCTACATGGACACAAGATCTCGTCCGTATGATTCGCCTTATGAACGTCAACGAATGCCACCACCACCGCCACCAATGAATTATGCCGATCCGTACAATATGCGTGGTGGCCCAGTAGATCCATATGGTCGTGATGACTTTTATCATCAACGAGCACCACCAATGCCAATTACTGATCAATATGGACGAGGACCACCAATGCGGTATGTCGTTATTCGTGCATAGTAAAAGAGAAGTGTTGTGTCGAAAAAAAAATAACGTCGGCGTTTTGCTTCTTTTTCTCTATTTCGTTCAATTGAACGTCCACATTGGCAAAACTCCGTTTCAGGTCGACTTACGATGCTTACTCGGCATATCCACCAGGACTTAGTGCAATGGGACCACCGAGAAGGTAAGCAAGAAATATTATACAAAGAAAAAAAAAGAATACGTTCGTTCGTCTATCTTAAAATACTTGATTGGAAAATTTGGTGATGGTATATGTATGTAATTGTTCGGAATTTCATGATAGCTATTTGTAAACAAGACGTTGAGACAAAAAAAAAAGAGATCGAACATTTCGTTTTTTTCGTATACATATACTCTTATATTAGTCGTTATGCTGCTTCACCATCATCGTCACGTAATGGACCAGGACGTTATGCATCACCATCTCGATCTTCATCTTCTCATCGTCCATCTCGACGATCACCATTGCCATCATCATCGTCCAGTTCGTCACGGTCACGTCGATAATACGTTTTCGAATGGTTTTCTTTTTACAATATTCTAGAACAAAAAAAAAATATATAAACCTACTACTGTGTTTCTTTTATTAGTCAGTCACAAACTATATCCTATATAGTTGGTTTTTGACTAATGAGTCAAACGAATTATCTCGTTTGTTTTTTTTTCCTCTGTTTTTGTTTGTTATATCTGTCTGTCTATGTACTTGTGATAAATCATAAACAAGTTTATTTGACATGTAATAAACCAATCGAATAAAATTTGTAATTCCAATTCATAGAAAGTTCAATTTATATGATTTTAATTCATATGAATTAAGAAATTGAACTTACTCAGAAGTTCAATAGAAACTATAATATACACAAGATAATAAATTGATAACTCACGCTATTTTTGTGCATGATGGTATAAAATCGGCTTAATCAATCTATTCAAGTATTTATCACACTAAATTCTGTTGATTTAATATATAGATTGGACACATTATATTAAATTATGTGAAAATAATGTTAAGCAGGAATAAGAAAATTCAATGATACACTTAGCATTCAAGTTAATATAAGAAAGTTTTATTATTTGTGTCTTTATAAGACTGTACCGTTTGATACATAGTAATCGAAGATGGTAATGAACTTACTAAAAAAATCGACTCTACTTAAAAATTTTAAGAAAACATTATTAATTAATAATATGTATATAATTAGAAAGGCAATTAGTTGCACAATTTCATTCAATAATAGCTTTAGTTAGTGTAGTGGTTGTTTCCATTGATTCAATCATTTTATGATGAAGGATATAGTTATATGTTGCATAAAAGGTATCGGCAGTATGAAATCAATCAAAGAAAGTATTCTTGTACATTCGTTAATACAAGCCAAAATATTTCAAAATGAACTATGGATTCTTATTGAATCGATACATAAAGATTATCAAACAACTGGTTTATATATTCTTTTTACTATTGATCAGAATCAATGTAGTGTCATTGATTGTGTGTATATAGCTTTTGCATTGTCATAATGTCAATGAGTGACTATAGTAAGTGTATGAGATATTTTGATATCGTATTTCCTATGTAATCAATTTCAGAACTTTTTCGAACAGGAACATGTTTAAAGATATTTCCTTTTTTTCTCAGTAACAACAAAAAAACTTGCAGCTCTGTTATGGAATTGATTCGCCTCAATATGACACTGGTTTAAGTCGTTGAATACAGCGCACCAAATGTATCTCGACTATCATTGCAGCAAAGAAGAAGACACGAAACTTACCATCTAACTTACCTGTTCTTTCATTGTCATATGATTTCGAAAACAGCTGAAAAGAAACAATGAATTCAAATAAATGAATGTTTACTTCGTGCAAGGACAAAATCGATTTCATCAAAAAAACAGGAATAATGTTAACTAAATAGAATCAATAAATGAGATTTTTATGTCTATGTATCCATGTAAAAAAATATAATTATACTTGATCTTTTTTGTGATTAAAAAGTTAGTTATAATGGCACTATTATAAACCAAATTTAAATAGATTTAACATTAAAATAAACAGTTTCAATTGATTTATAATCGATCTTATATAATTTTAAATCTGATTAAATTTTATTTATACTAGTGTGATTGTAATCAAGTTTTAACCGCGAAAATATCATAATCAGGTTTTCTTCGAAATATGATGCATTTAATCGATTTTTTTGTGATTCATGTCGGAAAACCAATTTTAATCTGATTTTTTGACTTCTTTTTCACATAAGGTATATATTTATGTTTCATAGGACCACAAAACTAATATAATACATTATAAAATGATTTATTTATACAGAGAAGTCGATAATGTCATTGATACCATAAGCTGGACTGTGCTTTCTTGAAAACTTACGAGAGAGATTTAATACTGTTTTTTTGAGTGAAGTCTAGGCAATTGGATTAGCTACGACGCATGCATTCGTCGTCATGTCAGTGGAGTTATCTTCAATGAAGAATAGCTTGATGCATTCGGATGCATCTAAGCGATGTAACAAGGATTCATGAACTATGTCTAAATGCGTAACTGAACCTCGAGAGCACCGAAGACATATCTTCTATATATTTCGTAACTATTTTAGGTATTAATTTGAAATCGTCATATTACAACATGTTAATCTTTTTTTTTTCAGTTCGATGTTTCGCGTATACTTGTTTGGTTCTAATAATTTATTACCAGACATGGCCAAGACTAGTTCAGTCCTTTCGGAATTTATTCTTTCACTATGTGATGGTAGCCGAACAAAAGACATCATTCTCAAATTTCAAAGATAACTTAGGATGATCTTTCATTCTATTCACGATTGAACTTTTGAGTTAGGATGATCTTTCATTCTATTCACGATTGAACTTTTGAGTTAGGATGATCTTTCATTCTATTCACGATTGAACTTTTGAGCACATCCTCAATTGTAGAGATTCTGTTACGACTGATCTGTATTAGAACAATGGCACCAAGAACACAACCTGAGTCCATTGACAGGTCAACCGCCAAACAATCCGAAATTTATATTGAGCGAGAATCTTAAATTGGCCATAGAAAGATTTCGACTTCAACAGAACAAATGTCGATCAACTCTGAGCTTTGATTTGTTCATTTAGTTTCATAACTGTGACACCAACTTTGAATGATGATGACGTAGTATTAAAAATATCCAAATAGTTAATAAAGAGCATTTTACAAGGCAAGTTATTGTTGAATGATTTGAAGAAAAAAAATTGTTCAATTCGACTATTGACTTGAGCATGTCTAAAGCATCCGAGAAGAATAAGAAATTATCGTGTTGTATTAAATTGCTAATTCAGGCTATTCCATCATGCCTATAAGTCAGCGTGTGAGGATGGATGTGGTTGATGATCTTCTGTTTGCCCATTTTCAGAGCCTGCGAAGATCAAGTAAGAATGAGAGTCTCAATTTTACAACTATGTACTACCTCAATATGCAATAAAGAACAAAGACAAAAATAAGCAGAGAATAAAAACAGTTGTTCTTAAAGAATATGGGCACTGCAAAATACTCACATCGACAAAAAAGAGATCGATTCTAAAAAAATAGCAAGAGACTTCTATGTGAAACAGATTGAAAAATGAGCAATTATTCCGAGTATGTCGTCAAATCTTGGGCTACACCACAGTTGATTGAATAGCTCAATATAAGAAAAGCTTTTTTCTAGATCGAACTACTGAAGCTTTGTTATACCATTGATATATTGAGTGGTGCTCATAGCACTATTTGATATCTATTGCCATTTTCAGATATGTCACAGTTTAGTTGGAGAGAAGTCGATCAATCACCAGTTACTAAAGATTCGAAATTATTATCATATTTTCTGTCAGAAAAACCACATATTTATCCCAAATTTCATCAGAACATAAATTCCATACTAATCTCCGGTGACCGACATCTTTGTCCACTTTTCGTCTCAAATATTCAATGCTGATGAAGATTTTTTTCTAAGAAGTTTTGTTTATCAGTATCTAAGAATCTTTTTTGCATTTTCGATGGTTTGCTTCCTTCAATCAAGTCATATGCAAGACTTCTTCAAAACGAAAAGAATGAGAATTTGAAATCCTTTCATACCATGTCATTTAAACAAAGGCAGTTCAATTTAGTTTATTCTGTGTCTTTCAATGTGTTGAAAAAAGAATTCCATAGTAGCCGTTATTCGAAACATTGTGCGAAAACATTCTATTCGCTATAGGTACACAAAAATATTCTTGATCATAATAGCATCATAACGTGAATTCTTTATAGAATGGTAACGCTATGTGAATGGAAATTTTCTAAAATGGAAAACTTTATTTAGAATGCAATATTCAACTTTCAAATGCATGCACTTTATTAGCTTGTCTTGATATAGTCACATGTATATATTGACTATTTTCATTTAATTAAATCATTTGATTAATATTGGGTTTATTGAATATTGAATTTACAGAAATACGCTGCACAACAATGAATAACACTACAATAACGATTATTACAAACACTTAACAACACAACACAACACAACAGCTATATATGTACACAGTCATGATGTCCAATATATACAATAAGAATCTTGTAATTTAATTCATATTGAAGATCGATATTTCTGTTTCTTGATCTTAGTATTATTGTATGTTCTATCTTGGCAATGTTAAAACTTTTTCAATATCTATTGGACGATATGCTGCGCCTCTTGTTTGAGTGATCATAACCAGATACATAGTAGAATAATTGGTTATCATCTGTGTAATGCGATTATTAACACGAAATCTTAGTCTTTTCTTCATCAATCGCTTGAATTCTTTTCGATAAATTGTAGCAGAAAGGAAATAGAGTGGAAAAGCTGAAACGTACGATAAATGCCATAAAAGACTGAAAACGGAGTATGGAAAATAGATGAAACGTGTTGCTTTATATCCTGTTGGTAGCACTAGCATTGAATAGGTGATCGACACGGGTAGTGTAAGTAAAATATGAGAGCCTACTTGAGCCAGTAGCATGAGAACTAGTTGACGTTCAGTACGACGACGTCGGGATACCAATACTCGTCCATCACCTACTTGTTTTGTATTGCAAATGGTCAGCAGACCGAATAATGTCATGAAAACCGGTGCCACGATGGCAAACAAAACACATTGAATGACAGCATAGACTTGTTTATACAAGGTGTTACCTCGATTTCGACACCCTAGCCCATCTCCTGGTCGAAGATCAACAATGATCGGACTGTTAGTATAGAGTAGTACAAAGGTAATAATGACAATCACGATTGTCCGTCGAGATACGCGAATACTGCTAAACTGACGTATTCGAGCACTTGATGAACTGATGTAGTATCGATCAATGGAGGCCAAAACGATAAAGTATGGGGCCATAGGATTACACAACTGAGTTATGTAAGTAATCATCTTACATGCAAGCGTAGAGAATCTAGCGGGATCGACTTGATATCCATCAGCCGACAGTCGATAACTGAGATTGATGCTCGAATAAGC